GAAGGAGGGGAACATGAGGCTGAAGGAGCTACTTGCTCTACAGAGTTCTTCAGACCCCCCCCCGCCACCCCCCCTCCACCAGACACCTGACCCTTTTCACGCCTTCCCTCAACTTCAATTTCTTCCTGGAAACTTTGGGCTTCCTGGTTCCCAAACTGGGATTTCCTTACTGACCTAACTTTAGATCTCCCTTACCCACAGCCATTCCAACCCCTAAAACTTCCAACTTCTCAGAACTCTTAGAGTCTCCGGCCCCCCCCCCCCCCCCCCCCCCCCCCCCCGCCGTGGCCCTGCCTTCAGTCCTGACAACCCCTGCGCGCCCCGTCTCCTTCCAGGCCTGCAGTACCCTGCCACCCCTCCCCAACCCAGTGGTCGGCTCAGGCCTCCTCGCCCTCAGCTCCCACGAGCAGCAGCGGCTGAGCGTTTTTGCCCTTGTCGTGCCAGCACACGTCGAAGAAGGGGTACACGGGCCCGGGCAGGCGCTCGTGGAAGGCAAAGAGCAGCTCGAGGGCGTCGGCGTCGCTGGCATCATAAAAGGAGAGGACTCCGTCGCCGAAGCTTAGGTAGATCCCAATGCGCCACGGCCGCCTTTCCGGGGTGCGCAGTGCGCGCGGCTCCTTGGCTTCGACGTGCGCCTCCAGGATCTTGCCGTCTCGCAGCCCGATCAGCCAGAGGCCTTGCGAGGGCACGGCGTGCAGGCGGCCGCGGCGGCTGGCCTGGGCGGCGATCACGCCGAGGCCCCAGCGCGGCTTATCGCCCACCTCCACCTCCCAGTAATGCTCGCCGTCGGACAGCAGCTGGTGCGCCACCACCGCCACAGCCTTGTCGAACTGGCACGGGTCCTCTCCGGCCGGCGGCGCCTTCTGGTCCGAGCACTCCACGCGGCGGCCGGAGGGAGACAGCACCAGGCTCGGATGGGCCGTGCTCGAGTCAAAGGTCAGGTCCTTCATAACTGCGAAGGGGAGAGTGGTCAGGCCCCTGCGTGTCTGCCTCCCTCCCGCAAGCTTCTCCCAACCAACTTGGGGGCCAACGGGTCTGCTCTAATCCCCCCAACATCTTTGGGAGGTGAGACCCTCTCTGCTTCCTGGCTTGGGCCAAAGACTGGACCTGTCTGAGCTTCAGTCCGCTTGGCTGGAAAAGGCCGCCGTAACTGCCTCCTTCCAAGGTAGGGAGGACCCCGGGGGATACAAGGCATGTAAGTCAGTAGCTGAGGTCCAGGTCCCAAAGCAGGAGACAGTCAAGAAGCCGGGTCCTAGGCCGGCCCCCACCTCACCCAGCTGTGTGGCTTCAGTCAGTCTTGAGCCCGTCTCTGGGCCTTACTTAGTCTTGCCGTGGATAAAACAGAATCTCCTCCCACCCCTCCTCCCACAAGGCGGTCAGGGCTACTCCAGCCATGGGTGTGTGTCCTGGAGTTCTGTAACCGATGGCACCCCGCTGTGACCTAGCTCTCGGGGAGAGGAGGCAGAACCCTTAGGGGCCTCCCCAGCCACAGGCCACCAGAGTCAATGTCTGGCCTAGGCCCATCCCCAGGGTGTCTGTTCTGCACATCCTCAGCCTCCAACTGGCAGCCATGATCATCTCCGCCATCCAGAGGGGGCAGGAACTGACCCAGGATCACACAGGGCTTGCCAACGGTAAGCAGGGTCCTCCTCACATCAGTCCCCCACCCGTAAACCCCATGCCCCCAAAGGTCCTTCTCTGAGCACAGGTTACAAGGGTGCAAGGCAAACCCCAGAGGTAAAGGGGCAACAGGCACCTTCTTCGATGACCTCCCAGCTGGGACCGAGAGGCCTCTCTTGCGTAGCCAGGACCTCCCCTCAACCGCACAGTTACAAACACAAACCCGGAGACAGCCCCTCCCCAGTACCTGGCATCAGAGCCCGGAACATCTTCCTCCACACCTGGAATTTGAAGTCATCTGAGATGACAGGCAGCTGGATATCCAGACGGGCAGGCGGCGGTGATTCTGCCAGGATCTTCTGTAGCCTGGGGGTGGGGAGGTGGGGGCAGCTGTGTGTGGAGGGACTTCCTGGAGGAGGCATGGAGCAGGGGCAGGGCCCGAGACGTTACCCCAAAGAGAGGAGGACAGGGGCTGTGGTGGAGTTCCAGGATCTCTCCTGCATCACACCTGGGCTTAAAACTCTGTGAGAGTTTCTGTTTAGAAGGATGCAGAAGTTCTGGAGGGAGATGGTGCTGGATGGTGGCACAACATGAATGTACTTAATGCCACTGAACTTAAAATGTACAGGTCAAAAAATGGTTAAAATGGCAAAGTTTACATCATATATATTTTACCACAAATTTTTTGTTTGTTTACTTACTTAAGTGATCTCTACACCCAACATGGGGCTCAAACTCACCACCCCGAGATCAGGAGTCGCAGGCTCCACTGACTGAGCCAGCCAGGCACCCCCACAAAAAACAATTTTTTTTTTTTTTAAGAAGAATCTTCTGTTGGTATAAGGGCCAAGCTCCTCAGGCTTTCAGTTTGCCCTCACCTACCACAGTGGCTTCACCTTCTCTCCCTCTTACCAGTGTTGGCCCGCCTCTTCCCCCAGCTCTTCACCTCCCCACTCCTGGCATTCCTCCAGCGCCCCCTCTGCGAAGCCTGCCCCGGCCACCCCCTTCCCGCCCCGGCAGCACTGAGCCCCTACGGACACCTGTGTCCCCGCCCACGTCCATCCCCAGCGCCAGTCTGGGAGGTCCCTGAGGAGAAAGACCAGGTCAGGGTCAGGGTCATTTCTGTACTCAACACAAATGCAGGAAGATGGCGGTGGACGGAATGGGGTGTACAGGCTTGCTGTGATTAGAGGGTGAGCCAGCCAGTGTCCCTGAAGACTAGGGCAAGTTGGGAAAAGGGGCAGGGCCAAGTGGATCTCACCTGCTGGTCACCAGGCAGTATTTCTGGAAAGAGAGATAAAGAGATGGAGGTGAGGCAGGCAGGGGAGACGCTGAGGACTTCTGAGGATGGATGGACCACCGGGAATGCTAAGTATGGGGTCAGGAAGAATCAGGAAAGCCAAAAGAAACCCAGAATTTAAAGCCAACCCTAGCCCTTTACCTCTGTGTGAGCTATAAAAACGTACTCCCTTTCCTCAAGAGACCAATTCCACTGGGTAGAAGATTGTCCAAATAAACATACAAACCTACAGTGTCTATATGAATGGTGCCCACTTAAATTCAGTGTCCATGTGCAGTGTCCAACCTAAACAACCATAACAGCAGTCCTGCCCCCCTCCCCCGATGTGTGACCTGGCTTCGTCCTCTCTGGACCTCCAAGTCCATGTCTGACAATGGGACGAGGTCTCTAGGCCCCAAACCCTGGCTGAGAAGCAGAGAGGGAAGGTCATCCAGTGCTCACCATTAGGAACTCAGTCTGGGGCTTGTCAGCCACGTCCTCCAGGACCTTCTCCATTTGCCGTAGCTGCTCCAGGTAAGAGTTCAGGCTTCCCAGCTCCCGCCGCAAGGCGACCCCTGCCTCAGCCCGCACTCGCTCCGCCTCCCGGTCCAAGGAGCCCTCCAGTGCCGCCAGGAACACCCGCATCTTGCCCAGCTGCTCCCCGACAGCCCCCCGAAACTGACGCACCGTCTCCTGGGGGAGCAAACAGGCAAAAGCAATGGGCTGGGAGCCCCAGGCCGATGCCCAGTCCCCTGGCCCTGCTGTGCTGAGCCCCTCACCTCCACCTCCATCAGCTGATGTTCCAGCACAGCCACACTCTTCTCCTTGCGCATGCACGCCTCCTGCAGCTGCAGCTTCTGCTGCGGCAGTTGTGTCTGAGAGGGGGTGAAGCATAAAGAAGTGAAGGGGCGGCACCCGCCCCCCATGTGCTGCCCTAAACCTGCCCTTTCTGGCTCAGCCTCAATGCCGGCTCATCCTCCAGTCAGGTGGGCATCTCACCATTCCCCGAACTCGTGTGCAGATCTCTAGGCCCTCGCGGGCACGGGTCCTGATGTCGAGAACGCCTTACCCTCCCACTGCCTAGTTAGGGAAATCCTCCCTGGCCTCCTTTCCCTGACCCCACACCCTCGGCCGTTAGCACCCTTAGCACAGGTCTTTGTGAGGGTGACAAACAGAGGGATACAGCGCTGACACAGCAGGCCTCCTGGAGTGAGTGTAGGATGTATGAAGAAGAAATGCAACCTCCTCCTTTCCCTGGGCTTTACCCCATCCTTAAAAGCAGAACAATAACAAAACACCCCAATCTGCCTTCCTACCCCCCCAAGGGCTGTGGGGGCAGGCAATTTAATAAAAATTGCTGCTGTGTTGGGGCACTTGGCTGGTTCAGTCGGTACAGCATGACTCTTGATCTCCTGGTGGGGAGCTCCAGCCCCACGCTGAGGGTAAAGCTTACTTTAAAATATATATATATATATATATATATATATATCTGCTGTGTCTACCAAACAGATTTGTGGGCAGAATCCTACCCTAGGCCTGCCAATTTGTGAGTCCTGAAAGGCAGGTGTAGGGAAACTCTTAAGAGCCCCTGCCAAAGTCACTTTTTGCCGGGAAAGTGTATGGCCCTGCAATCAGACGGTCCCAGTCCCTCCTCCATGGCTTCCAACCTCAGTTTCCTCTTTTGCAGAATGAGAGCAGTCTTCCTCACTTCACCCGGGGTTGTGACAGATCTGTGGCCTCCTCCCCACTCCGCTGAAGGGAAACTGAGAGACCCTCTAGGCTCTGTCTGCGGATGAGTCCCCGTCTTAGCGGAAGCCCCAGGATTAGCCAGCCCATGGCCCCCGTGGCCAGCCGCCAGGTCATGCTCCGGCCTGCTGCAAGACAGGGCAGACCTGGTGGCTCTTAGCATGGAGCCATCAAAGGCTCAGTGGCGACAGGGCTAAGCCATGAGGAAGATGCGTGACGCCACCCTGGTTGCACGGGGAAAACCTGACCGTGGCTGAGTTCAAGAAGTTCAAACTGAAGCTGGAAGCGGAGCCGCTGCGCCGAGGCTTCCAGAGCATCCCGCGGGGCTGCTCCGGCAGCGAGATGCCCCACAAAGCTGGTTGCCCTCTGCAGGAGCACTTCTGCTCTGAGCCCAAGGCAGTCAGGCTGCGCGACATTGGCATGCAGGAGGAGGCAGCTCGGTTTCAAGGGGTCACATCAGTCCCCCACTCCCGGCAGATCCCATTCAACCACTCTTGAGTCCTGGCACATGGTCTCTGGACACAGCCCCTCTTCGTCGCCAAGGACCCAGGTATCCAGCCGCGCGCCCCAGCCTTCCTGTCTCCCTCCTCCGTCAGAACCTTCTTGGGTTCCTTCTTCAGAATTCCTGCCAGGCCCTCTCTGTGGCTTAGGGCGGGGCTGATGTGGATCCGGGCAGAATGTATTCCGCCCCATCTGTTCCCTCAAGGCTCCTGGGTCCCCTGGTGCTCTGTTTCATGTCGGGGACTCTCTTCCCTCTTGGCAGATCTCGCTTTTCGGCCCACATTGGGAGTTCTGGGGTTACCAGCAAAGGTAAGCCTGGGTTGGGAAGGCTCCCGGGAAGAAGCTCCTGCGCTGGTCTAGAAGACCACCAGTCGGCACTGGGCAGAACTGGGCGAGGCAGGAGGGGGAGGGACGGTGAGGCTGGGTCCCTCGGGGAGTCTGGGGGCCTCGAATACCCGCCTGAGGACGGTGGTCTAGTCTCTTTAGAAGTCTGGGGGCCAAGCAGAAGTGCAGTGCAACGCTGATGTTTGGGGGCAAAGATAACCCGCAGAAGCCCACCCCGCTCATCACTTGCAGGAAGACGATGGCAGCTTCCCTGCCGGGGCTAAGGACCGCTCCCTGCCTCCAGAACCCGCCTCGTCCCGCTCCCTCACCTGTCGTTTATTCTTCTACAGCCCAACAAATGCTTCATGGCAGAACTTCCTGGGCCTGTGTAGACACATACTCTCCTGTCACTACATGCGTGTGATTTGCCACACGTCTGACACGGACGAGCCAGTGTGTGTGTGTGTGTGTGTGTGTGTGTGTGTGTGTGTGTGTGTCTATTTGCTAATGTCTGGGTATCTTTTCTGGGCACCCGTGGGAATGGCAAACCTTGGGGTGCGCACAACTGTGTGTGGGCTCTGTAAGCAAGCGTTCGAGACTTCCAGCTCCATGGAGAAAAACAGCCCGGATTTAGGGTCTCGGTGCCAACCTGGGCCTGCGCACAGAGGTGGGTTTCCCAGGCCTGCCTTTGCCCTCCCCGCGGGATGTAGTGACCCTCGGGCCCGCACAAGTTCTGCAGCTCGGGGGAGAACGTGGGCCTCTGCGAAGCAGGCCCGCGGCCTCGGCCAACGCCGCCCCCGGCCGCCCGCCCCCAAGACCCGCCTCCAAGACCCGCCCGGCTAGTCTTATCTGCCCCGCCTACGCCCGCGGAAGGGGCGGCGCTCGCGGGCCGCGGACACTTGCTCTCCTCCCTGCTCAGCCAAGTCCGCGGTGTGGCGGCGGCCCCTGCATCTCTGGGCGCCCTCTAGCCGCTAAGCCCGGGAAATCTAGGTTGGGGCCGCAACCGTTCCCCAGGGCCCGCCCCTGAGTGCCTCTTCCAGGCTCCCTTCTCCGCCCGGCTCCGCCTGCCGCTCGTCAGCCCCCATTCCCTAGCGGCCTCGCCCCCGCCCCGCGTCCCCCGCCACTCCAGGTGCCCCCGGCCCTGAAGCTCAGAATCCAGGTCAATGCGGCGACCTCCAGATCGGCCAGACCCCGCTCCAGCCAACAACCCCGTCCCACCCCGGTCCCCCCGCCGCCGAAGGCCACCCGATCCCCGCACCTTGAGGCGCGCATGGGCTTCGGCGGCGGGCAGCAGGCGGTGGCCCCGGTGCGAACCGAGCGAGGCGCAGACGCCGCACACGAGCGCTCGGTCCTGCTCGCAGTAGATGCTGAGCGGGTCGAGGTGCTCCTCGCAGTGGCCCTGCGGCACCTGCGCCAGGCCCTCCACCAGGCGCGCCAGCTGCAGGTTGGTGCTGAGCGCCTGCGGCCGCGTGAGTGCCTGGCAGCTCGGGCAGGGCACCGTGCCGTCCGCCGCCGGCTCCCCAGCCACGCGGCTCAGGCAGGCGCGGCAGAAGCTGTGGCCGCACTCGGCCGTCACTGGCGCGTCAAACAGCTGCAGGCAGAGCGGGCAGGACAGCTCCTGGTGCAGGAGGCCCGGCGCAGCCGACATGACGGACCTGAGTAGAGGAGGGCTCAGTCAGGGAGGCTCAGCGGAGCCGCGAACCAGGCCCGGCCCCAGACCCAGACAGGGAGGATTCCCCAGCCTATAAAGACCTCACGTCTCGTACAGAACAGGCCTCTGGTTCTGGCCAACGGGGAAGGGGGGACTCGGTTTTGAGCCCAAAAGCAGTCTCAGTTGCATTTCTCAGCCCCAGCCCCCAAAATAGCCACTAACAGGGACCTTGTCTCAAGCCCAGGCCCTAAACAGGAGTCCAGGTTGCCGTCCTTCCCCGGTCTTAGGCCCAGGCCTCAGCCCCTGCCCCAAATTCCGCAGAGCCCCCACCGCCTACCCTCCTACCTCTCCGGGAGCCCCAGGCCTCCCCTCCCCCATATCTCCAGGCCCACAAGACCCACAGGACTCACAGGTCTGGACGGAGATCTTGGGCGAAAAGAGACTCCCAGGAGGCCCACTCAAGGTCAGGCCTAACCTTAGGTGGGTGTCAGAGTTGTGTCTGGAGACAGGCAAAGGGCAAGCAGCAAGCTCAGAGCAAGGACAGGGGACCCACAGGCACAGCTGGGAGAGAACACCGCGGGTGAGGACACGCAGTGAATCGCAGACAGACCCTCCCAGACTGAGTCCTGGCCCCAGGACTATTTTTAGTTGTCCTGCCCACCCCATTCCATCACTTCTGGAAACCGTTCTAAAAGTGAGGACGGAGTGGTCAGCGGACAAGCATCACATGTCAAGGCCACCTGTCCCGGTCCATCCACTGGCCCCTCCCTGGCTCAGCCTGGAGCCAGAAATTACAAAAGCAGGGAGATGGGGCCTCTCATACCACAGAAAAGACAGAAACACGTTTGGGAGGAGTCTCTCCTTTCCCCCCCACCCCCCCCATTCCACACTCTCCAGCCTCCCCTGTCCCTGCCTGTGGCCCCTCTCCAGTTTGTCACCCACTTAATTCCCCAAGTTTATAGCTCTCCGAGATCACAGTGACCGTATGAGCTCCATCTGCAGGAGGACAGGACCTCAGACTACCCTGAAAGATCTTCTTCCTCCAGAGGTGAGGGGAAGGTCTTTTCCCTGCCGGTCTCTCCAGTGCCCAGCACAGGCCCTGGGGCAGAGTGGGCCTCCCTAAGTGCTTGGGAAATGATTGATAGAGGGACAGTTGGATAAATGAAGGAACTGAATCCACAGCCTGCAGCCCAGAAGTTGATTCTGTCCCGAGAGCTTTGGGCTTTTACATGCTTAGCCTTCAAAACTCAGTTTAAATTGCATTCAGAATGAAAACCAGAGTCCTCACTGTGGCCTACAAGGACCTACTGAAGCTGATCTCATTCTTCTCTCTACCTTCCCCACCTGCTCACTCCAGCCTTGGCCTTTGGGCTTGCTGGCCCCTCGGCCTGGAACACTCTCTCGGACATGGTTTCCATCCTACTCTCAGTGAGGCTTTGCCTAACTCCGCGATTTTAAATCTCATATCTCCCTCCCGCCGCTCTGTTTTTCCCTGTAACATTCATTACCATCTGACAAGCAAAATTTTACTTACTGGTTTTTTCGACCGATTCCTCCTACCAGAATATGAATTTTGTACCCTGCTTGTCTCCAATTTAGAATAAAGCGTGTGCACACTGCAGGTGCTCAATAAATACTCAGTGGATGAATAAACACACAGATTCACCGGACCCTTCTCTTTTGGCCTCTCAGCCACACTTTCTCTCAGCCTTTCCCTGGATTTGTCCGGTCTTAATCTGAGTTTCTGCTTATGTTTCAGTTTTATCTCCCCCTTTGGACCTCTTTTTGCCTCTCTCTTGAGTTTTTAATGTTCGTTTTTATTAATTTTATCCCAGATGTGCACATGAGGTGTTCTGGATCAGAGACAGACTTACTAAATCTCTCCCAGGAAATAGTAAATGTCTGGCTCCCTGTGCCCTAGGATGATGGGATGAGAGCCAAGTTAACTGGCCCATGACGGTAGCCAGACACCCTAGATAGGAGCAACAAGGAAGAATTCCTTTCCCTGATTATTAAGGAGGAGAAAGCAACTGCCCCTCTCCCCTGCTTAAAGATCTTCTTACTCCAACTCTTCGGCAAGTAAATAAATCTCCCCAGGAGCCAGATAGCTCCCTACACATCTCCGCTCAAGTCTTTGGTTTTATTATTTTTTTTAAATTTCACAAATATATTTTATTTAACCAAGTGGAGCCAAAATATTATCATTTGACATGTAACCAATATGAAAATTATTAATGTGGGGCATCTGACTGGCTCAGTCGGTAGACCATGCAACTCCTGATCTCGGGGTCATGAATTCAAGCCCCATGCTGGGCGTAGAGCTTACTTAAATTATTAACGAAATATTTTACATTCCTCTTTTCATACTAAGTCTTTGAAAGCGGGTGTGTATATTACACTGAGGGCACATCTCATTTCAGACGCCTCATTTCAATTGCTCAAGAGCCACATGTTTATAGTAGTTATCAAATGGGACAGCACAGTTCTATAATCTCCATGATCTTAGATTAATATTAAAGATTGTCTTATTAAGCCTTGTTGATTAAATATAGATTTGCTCTCATGTGCTTGATCAAAATCCTAGGAAAATGCAGAATTTGGGGTGGTGGAAGAACTCAGTTATTTTAAGCAGAGTATTCTTGTATTTATATAAAAAAGTTATATTTATGAACTGAACCTCCCATTCTTTTTTTTTTTTTTCTGGTACCTTCTCCAACCCTCCCTCCCAACCCATGCTTGCTTTTCGTTTTGTCTTGGTTTGGTTTGGTTTGGTTTTTTGTTGTTGTTGTTGTTAACATATAATGTATTATTTGTTTCAGGGGTACAGGTCTGTGATTCATCAGTCTTACACAATTCACAGCGCTCACAACACATACCCTCCCCATGTCCATCACCCAGCCACCCCATCCCTCCCACCCCCTCCCATTCCTTTTAATAGTTTGTTAAATCCCAAAGCAATATCCAGATAAACAATGAGTTGCATCTCAAAAAAATAAGTAAACCCTAAATATTACAAGCCTTTGGACTTGTCTCCAAGTTCTGCGGCTCATTTCTTCTAAAACACTTGAAGCTCTTCCATGTTGCATCCTGGCCCACTTAGGAAGCTGCCCCAGGCTTCCTGGCACCTTTGGGCTTAACCTAGGAACCTTGTACAGGCTATCATCATTTAGGCCTCTCAGGAAGAGATAAGTTTTATTATTCTTTTGGATCAGAGCAATTGACTACACAAATGACTACAGCATTGAAGTCTCAGGAAGGGGCGCCTGGGTGGCTCAGTCGTTAAGCGTCTGCCTTTGGCTCAGGTCATGATCCCAGGGTCCTGGGATCAAGCCCCACATCGGGCTCCCTGCTCGGCGGGAGGCCTGCGTCTCTCTCCCCCACTCCCCCTGCTTGTGTTCCCTCTCTCACTGTGTCTCTCTCTGTCAAATAAATAAATAAAATCTTTAAAAAAAAAAAAAAAGGAAAGAAAAGTCTCAGGAAGCTACTAAGGCTTTTTACCAGAACCCTGAGAAACCCAGGGAAGTTGGATTTCCCCAAACAGGAGGGTGTGAGGATGAGAGCATATCTGGAGCTGGTCTCTGAAACCACAAACCACTTTACTTCCACTCAAAAAGTCATCATCCTGAATGTCAATCTCACCTGGAGTTTCCATCACTGCCAGGCTGAGGCTGAAG